GGCAGCCGGTTCCCCCGTTTTCGAGAGGACCTGGCGGGGCAACGCGAGAGGCATGCGTCAGGGAGGCTGATGCCGAGCACTCACACAAGAGGAAAACCCCACGGGCACTCACACGGACACCAAGCCCTGCGCCGGAGCTCAACCTCCGGCATCCAAAGCTGAAAACCACGGCGGAGAAAGGCGCACCGGCCGCCCCCAGCAAACACCCTCCCAGGCCAGGGAAGACACCGCCTGCCCCAGGAGATGCCCAAACTGCCCCTCAGCCAGCGGCAGAGGAGAGGCAGGACCCTGCATGTCAGAGGTTTGGGCAGCAAGGGCCCCATGGGGACACGGGAGGATGGCGTGCATGGAGGTGCCCAGGAGCTCGCTCTCAAGCTGACCAGAAAGATGGATCTTCTAACAACTCGTGTCTACACCCATCAGTCAAAGTTGTGCAAATCCCACGTTGTCCTGAGTTCTCTTCAGCTGTTCGTCATGCAGGGGTCTCTGCTGATTGACAGCAGGACCCACGGTTCGATGCCATGCAGGATGAGCAGAGGAGCAGACGGGCACGTGGGTTTACCAGCGCCAAGCCCAAATCTTCAGGAGTCCTTCAAGAGACTGGTCAGCACTGGTGGGCTGATGGGGAGTGAGGGAGCTTGCTGCTGGCACTGGGAAACCAAGCCCAGGTCAAGCCAGCCCCAACTGGAGTCGGGGAAGATAAGCCCAGAGTCACGACATGAGGACCACCAGTGGAAGGGCACAAGAGGGGTTGAAAAGAAAGGTAAGAACGGTGAGGGTGGGGTGGGGATGGGGAGAAAAGTAAGACAGACAAAAAGACTAAACAGCCAACAAGTTTCCAGTAGGTCACTTGCAATCTGTGTGAGTCATGGTCCTTCTCAGGCTGGTAAAAGGAACTCAAAGAGATAACAGCATCTCACACCGCAAGGACTGAGGACGGTGCCCACTGGGTGCTGCAGGGACCCTGGTCACTCCCAGGGGCCCTAAGAAGGGGACAGGAGGCCTGGAGAGAAGATCCCGACAGCAGGACAAAGAGCCCAGGAGGTGCCCTGCACGGTGGCTTTCCTACAGGAGCAGTGAAGGTGGGAAGCGAAGGGAAGGCTGGAGGAGGACTGGAAAGCCCTGGTTGCTCCCAGGCTGCGCCACCACACCAGATCCCACGCCGCGCTACAGAAAAGGACATCCTGAAATCATTATGTCCAGTCCAGCATCATTAAAACAGCTTCTTCCCAGGGTCTTCAAAGTCACGGGGCAGCAAAGCAGCCGCCGACTGGTCCAGCCCCTTGCCAAAACACAGCCAAGAGACCCCCAGACATGCTCCAGCGGCACATCCCCTCCCCCCACGAGAACAGCATCGCCGGGGCTGCCGTGTCCTGCCAGTGACCACCTCGCCGGCAGGCAAGGAGAAGGGTGTCCTGCGGGCAGCGCTGGCAAGGACGAGGGGGACTGGGGCAGGGGCAGCACTCAGCTTTGAAGCTGCTGCCACGATGGTTTCACGGGACTCAAGTACTCGGTGGCCACAAGCCGGGCTTCCCCCACCCACCTGCGGGACAGGACGGCAGTGGCTCAGCCCAAAGCGAAGCAGCTGTACCTGCAGTTTGTTCTTACCGGGACAGAGTGTGGCTTCTCTGTCTGCAATATTCACCAAAAGCCAAAGGCACTGCAGATTTGTCTGGCAGGCCGGGTACCTTTCTCCAGGCGATGATGGGAAAGGGGTCTCCAGCAGCAGCGCAAGGAATCAACAGCTCCCTCCCTGCCTCCTGTCTGTACTCCCAGCCTGGTAGCACCGTGAAATAGGGGGGGTCCTGCAGCCAAGGGAAAAGGCAAGGAGCGTCAACCCGTGCCAACTCCCACTGCACACGAGCAGCTTCCCCAGCACCAAAACCAGCCCTTTTCCAAAACAACCGAATCGGTCATTTGGGTAAGGTTGAGGCATTGCAAGGAAAGCCACAGTGGAGAGCGCGCACCAAGGAGGCTCTGTGGTACACCAAATTATACACCCAGAGGAGAGTTTTCTCTGAAGAGCTGCTGCACTAGGGCACCTTGTTTAAGTTTTTAAGGAGGTAAACAGGAAAAAAACCACCCACATCACATCAGACCGATCCGATTTCATTGACTCCACAGCCGCCTTAGTGGATGTGTGTGTCTACAGTACACAAAGCGTTATCACGTGAACCTCAGCGAGACACCATGAATCACTGCTGCTCGCAAGCACGGGACTTTTTGTTCAGGGAAGGAAGAGGCAGCAGCTCCCACCCCAGCCGCCCAGGGAACTGCACTGGAAGCCCAGTACGCCTCGGGCTCCGCACGCAGCAAGAGCACGTGGTGCATCTCTAGAGCTCAAATCATCCATTTATTAAAATCCTCCGTGAACCCAGGCCCAGGTCAGCAGAGCTAAGCATTTTGTTGGCAAAAAAGGCCATCCCAGGCACATGTTTCCTCCAACTACCCTGGTCCAGCGCTACCAAAGCCTTACGCTCGTCATACACCAGCCGTGACTCAGGCCGCACCAAAACCCGTGCCGCTGCCTGGTCTGGGACTCCAGCACCCCGCACAACCCCGAGGGCTCTTTTTGGCATAGGAGGACACAACTCAACAGCAGACATGCTGGCTGCAGAGCAAGGATTTTAGCAGGCAAGTTACCTTCAGTACCAGTCGGGCAGGGGGAGACTGGCCCATCGTACCCAGGGCGTTATAAGGCACACAGGTGTAAGTGCCGAGAGCATCTTCGGTTGCCTCCTCTATCCGGATTGACCCATCTTCCAGCAGGTTCCAGCCAGTATACTGCAGCAATGAGAAAGAGGGAGCTGACTTATCCTACACCCACCGCAGCTTATTATTTTCCCTTCAGGCAAGCCCCCCACCCACACCCCGGGTGGCTGTCACGTCGTCAGGAGATGCCCAATTCAACTGCCAGCATCCAAGCCAGCTCCTCCACTGCAGGGAGAGGAAACGTGGGCAATATCAGGCCCATCCCAAGCCCTCCCAGGAAGGGCTGCCGTGCTCTGTAGGCACCCAACGACACGCAGGTTTACCTTGCGGCTGCTCTCCTCCCTATCACACACAGGCTTCCTCAAGCACCCCAAAAGATGCAATATCAGAATCTATCACACCTTAAGTAGAACTCGTCCTGGTGGTACCAAGGAGACAACTCCACCCATGGGGCAGAGGGCACCAAGGACCAGCAACACTTTTAAATGGAATTAAAGCTTTGGATCGTTAATATTTAAGCAAAAACTTTAAAATACTGAGTGTCTTCTTTAAATATTTAATGGCTAATATCCTTGCTGAGACTCTCAAACCTCGATTATAGGAAGACAGAGTTGTTAAAAGAGTCTTTGAACCATCAGTTGTCATCAGAAAAAAACCCAGGGCCATCAGGAGGTGACTTTAGAGGGAAGCAGGCATCAGGTCTGGGAGATGCAGACAGCGTGTCTCCAAGCACCCTGGGCTCCACACAAGAACCCAAATTAACTCTGCCCACAGCTGATAAGGATAAGCAGTGTCATCCCACCCACGGGACTGCTTCTCTTCTGGCAGGCGGGCTGGACCCACAGGGCGCCCGGTGACACTCACTGGCATTTGCAGAGGACACAAGGGTCCGAACCCCTCCGTGTCCCCATGTGTACCTCCCCGGGGGCTTCCTTACCTTCTCGATTCGCAGGGGACGTCCGTCTTTGTTCCACTTGACCAGCGTGACCGGGGGCTCTGCCTCGACCGGGCAGCGGATGTATCCGTGTATCCCGATGGGAACGTAGATGACAGGGGGCATGTTCACCACGCGGGCAGGATCTGGGAGAGCAGCAGCACCGTGTTAGTGTGGGGAAAGAGCCCATTTCTTCCCCACCACTTGGCTTTGCAGGATCTACATCACTTGTATAATGAATTCCAAACCCAAACACCACCTTGGCTCCTGCAGGCTGTTATCTCCAGGCTAGCTACACACGAATCTGCTGTAATACCTGGCATTTCTGGGAGGCTTTACTCGTGCCCAGGATGTTCCTACCTGGAGCTCATTAAAACTTCCATTTAAGAAGAAACATCAAGTACGCCTGCTCCCACATCCACAGCGACTTGGGCCCTGCTGAAGCCCAAGCTGCTCCATCACACCCAGCCCGCGGGACGCACGCAAGGGGCGGTGCACACCCGGCAAGCCACTCGCCTGCCCTGCAGCCTGGTTTTGCACACCAGCCATGAGAACTATTTCGACTCCCGAGCCTTAAAACACACCAACTGCAGCAACCGGGATGGCAGAAGGGATCCGTGTCCCGGCTGCCGCGAGCCCTTTACCTCCTATCTGTTTGTACTCGCGGCGCGAGCCTCGTCGAGGCTGGGTCGTGTTGAGCATCAGCCACCTCCGCCCTTTCCAACAGGATGCAAAAATCTTAAAATACCTACCTAACCCCCCCCCCCCCCTTTGTGCTGCACCACCCACGCAGCGAGGCGTCTCGCAATCCTCCAGTCTAGAATGTGTCATTAACAGTGCTTCTAAGAGCTTTTTAATTAAGTGCGAGTGGGTTGGAGAGAATCTAGACTTTCTTTAATAAGAAGCTTTTTTTTTTTAAAAAAAAAGTTACTTTTAATAAGAAGAGCGAGTATTTCTACAATCTCGTCTAGACACCGGCAGCGTGAGGTTATGGGAAAATCCTGACGGGGCTTACGCTGCATTAAGGGATGAATGCATTTTTTTGGGGCGCAGCATCCCTGCGCCGCTGATGCAAGAACACAAAGCCGGGGGTGAAGGTAAGCTGTTTAGGAGTAAGGGAGGGAGGATGCAGGGGTGCCCTTCTCCTTATGGCTTTCTCGCGGCAAAAGCTACCAAGTTTGGGAGCTCTGCTCCCTCCCCGCCAAAACACATAACCCCGACCGCTCCCTGGAACTGCGCGCCCCCGGCAATGGCACCGTAACCCAGATTGCCACGCGCCGCATATGGAGTGGGCCTTACCCCCCTCCGCTTAACTCCGCCTCTTAGGAAATGTAATCAAGGGCTCCAGCGTGGGTAATGGGATCGAGCCTTTCACTACTAGGTGACTGGCTGGTGGCCAGCCCGGCTCACTAATGACCCAGAGCCCTGTCCCCGTCCGACGGCTGCTTCGGTGCGCGGGGACGCCTCCCTCGTGAGGCATCAGTCCTGGGACAGACGAGGTCTGCTCCGGAGGAAAGGGGTTTGCAGCACAAAAAGCCAAGCACTCCTCCTCGCGCCTAAGCCTTGAGCGGCAGATTGTCCAAACGCTGTTTTTTCCTGCCATTAGAGCTATTTTTAACAGCTATCAGCCTTGACGAGTGGTCCTGGATTAGCGACAGGGCAGATTTAATGGCCTGAGGCTGCACGCTTTCCCAAGAGCTGCCCAATCCGAGCCCCGAACCACGCCTCTGCCGGGGCACGGCCGCAGTCACATCGTCCCCTTGCCCCTTCATCCATCCCCCCAGGGAAACGATCCGACCTACCAGCCCTTCTCACAGCGGCTCCCTGCCGGCGTGGGCCTTCCCACTAACCAGCCCTGAGTCTACAAGCAGCGGCTCTAAGGCAGCCTTCAAAAGTCGCGAGCCCGCTTCGCTCCAGCCTGTCTTTCATTACAAAATAAAACCGCTGCAGCCTTTTACAGCAGAGCAACGTTGCAATTGCGAGTGGCAGCAATTGAGGCCATTACTGTCGAATGCCACAGGACGCCGGTGGCACACTACCCATTACCGCCCGGGGAGCCGGCGAGAACAAGCGTGGGAAGCAACGCTCCTGCTACAGCCCCTTCTCCTCTGCTTGTTTAGATCAGTTACAGCCTGAAAAACATGACACACAAAGCTACCAAGCTCACAGAAAAACCACACCGTGGGAACCAGCCCCCATAATAAACACCAAAAAATACAAGCAGGTAGTCGAGACAGAGAGCCCTGATCTGGTGTTTCCCTGCCCAACGCGACGCGGCTGACGAAGAGCAGCAGTGGGAAGGTGCTCACCTAGTCAAAAACCCCTTATATCAAAGGTGGACACTGGTACCGGCCGAGAGGTGCTACCCAGGATGCTCAGGCTCTTCGCTTTCTTGTTGTCCCCACCCTACGAGCACACGGGGGACGCTCTCAGCCTTTTGCTGAGGATGACTGCGTGCTCATCCAAAGGCTGCTGTCACATCAACCCGAGCCTCCTAGTATCATACCGGGATGACAGAGCCTCTGGGGCTGCCTCAACACCAGGTATTATCAATCCCAGCCCCACCCCTCAGGATCAGGCCCCACTGCCCGCACTCACACTGCACCGTCAGGTAGGCAGAGGCCGATGGCGAGCGGCCCAGGCTGTTGCTGGGGATACAGGTGTATTTTCCAGCATCCTCTGGCTTGACACGGAAAATGATCAGCGTCCCATCAATCAGGATCCGCACCCTCAACTTCAGGTCGCTGCCAGAGAAGAAGGGATGAGGATGGCAGGGAGACCCAAGGGCAAAGCCCACCCCATTCGTGGCCCCAACATGATCTGGGAGCAGAAGGAGGAGGACACAGTGCCTTGCCAGCTGCAAACTCACTTCTTGAAGTAGACGTTCTCCTCCTCCCAGTACCACAGGTAGGTGAGGTTCCCGGGGTACGCCTCGGCCTGGCAGGTGAACAGCGCATCCTGGGAGATGTTGACCGTAATGTTCTCCGGAGGGGAAACTATGAATGGAGGTCCTGGAGGGGGAAAGAGAGAAGTGTCACCCCCACCAGCACAGATATCCCCACCAAGGTTGCTCAGGCTCAGCTCCATCACAAAGTCGTTGGCTGGGAGCTGCTGCTGGAGGGCTCCGGGGCAGAGGTGGCCCGAATCCCTTGGGATCATGGGGTGCAGGGGCTGACCTCGAGCAGCACGGTGGCCCTGTTATTCCCAAACCCTTTCCCCTAATCTCTGCAGCACCCTTGGCGCATGGCTCTGCTTCTCCCAGGGCACACGAGCTCACGCCTCCCTTCAACTCGAGCGCATTTCCAGGATCGCATCACCCGTGGGAAAAACAGCAAACTGCCTGGAGCTGGCAGCGAGCATCCACAGCTCGCCAGCATGGCGAAAGCAGAGCAGAGGACACCCCACGCTCCTCTCTCTGCCGGTAGCTGTTGACCTAATTAAAGATTTATTTAATAAAAGAAGGAGTGAGGAGCGGGAGGCCTGCCATGCATCACCGCTATCTGACAAGGCGCTTTGTGACAGCCTCAATCTTTTCCCCGCTCCCTGAACAAAACCGAGCTGCCATCGGGGCCCAGCTGCTCATCGGCACGGCCGCTGCAGCGCCCCAATTAAGTGGATTCTTCCATCCTACAAACGGGATGTGAAGCCGCGAGGCCGCAGGCACAACGTCGAGCCCACAAGGCTTGCGGGTCGCTTCGGGGTGGCACTGCAGCCCTGTGGTCCACGGAGTTCCCCCCATGAAGCCTCCTCCCAGCGCCCCCCAGGGATACCAAGGGCTGAGGAGGGCCTCGGGTGGAAGATCTCACCTTGAACGAGCAGGCGCGTGGTGTGCACAGCCTCCCCCTGGATGCTGTACGCCCGGCAGGTGTAGGCACCCCTGTCCTCCCGGCTGACGGAGAGCACCGTCAGGCTCCCGTCGCTCACCTGGGGACAACAAGGGAAGACCCTGGAGCGCAGGCAGGGACCGCCAGGGGCGGGGGGATGCACCCAAGCCCCAGTTCAGCACCCTCCCTCCCTCCCTCCCCGCTTCCCATGGCAGGGAGCTGCCGGTGCTTTTAGGGGCGGATGAGAAATGGGCTTCCCCGCTCTGCAAGACTTCAGATATTAATAAACCAACACACGCTCGACGCCAAGGGGAAGAGGAAAAAAAAAAAACACAACACAACCAAAACCAAACGAAAAAACCCTCGCAACATATTCATCTCCTGCAGAAATGACTGGCTCAGGCGGCAGACTCCAAACCGCTCCTGCCGAGTGCCCCAGCACCATCAGCGTTTCACAAGGAGGAGGATGCCTTGCCGGAACATCCCCTGCTCCCAAGGGACCCGCTCCACCCCTGGGGTGGGGGTACGAGGGGGAGACCCCAGCTCAGCCACCAACCTCCCTGCGGGGCCCCCTCACAGCCGCAAGAGGAGCGGCTCAACTCCTCCCCAGGGACACGGCCAAAGAAAGGCGGGCAGGCGACCATCACCCCCAGGGTAGCAGCCCCCCCAAGCAGAAGGAGTCCTGCTCCCAGCCAGGCTTCCCCCCACCTCATTCTGCCTCATCCTTCTATTTCAATTAGCAACAAATGATTCCTAATTACTCTCATTAGTGCCTGCGCTGATTCCAATGCCTGATTTACCAATTACAGCTCAGGGGGAATCTCTGCCCGGGAGCCTCTGGGATTCAAAGAGGGTCCTGGGCAAAGGGGAAAAATCCTCCCTGCCCAAACCTCCCCCTGCCCCAGCCCCGCAGCACCCATCCCTGCCTGGGGACACCCCCATCTCCAGGACCTGGCACGGCAACCAGCCGCCCGGGACAAGAGTCCCCAAGGAGCAGCAGGGAATGGGGCTGTCCTAAAAATGCCCGGCGGGGGGCTCTAAGCCTGCACCCAGGGGCAGGCAGCGTGAGATGCTGATGCTCAGCAGAGACTGGGGGGAAAAGGGCATCTCGGCAAGGAGAAGTGCTGAGAAAGCACGCCCAGCTCCAAGCACGGCAGAGCTGCCGCCACCATGGCCCCATCGATACCGTCCCCATGCCCACGGGGCACCCGGGAGCCCCCTCAGCAGCCCCTGCAAGCCCCCGTCACCCACCTACCTGGTACTTGCCATTGGCACCCAAAAGGTCTCCCTCTTTCAGCCAGGTGACGATGGGCTTGGGGTTCCCGAACGCCATGCAGGTCAAGGTGACGCTGCTGCCTTCCTTCGCCTCTACGTACTGCGGCGGCGTCTCCGTGAAGGTGGGGGGAGCTGCGGGGCAGGGGGAGAGCGCCGTGACCCCCCAGCTTCACCCGTGGACGCTGTGGGTCTGCCAGTGGGGCACGGGGACAGAGGGGAGGCTGCTGCCTGCAAACGGGGGACACGCCGCCCGTCCCCGTGGCAGGGCTGGGACCACCCGACAGGGACAACAGCGGTTGTCACAGGGGCTGTCCCCGAGGGCATCCCCTCCATGACACACTGCGCCCTAGCCCTGTCCCCTCTCCTCCCCACCAGCTCCAGGGCACGGCACCACGTGTCCCCCCACATTGCACATTAACTTGCTATTGTCAAAACATGGGAAAACACCGCAGTGCAGATCGAAAGGCTCCTTCCTGATTAAAGAGGCTGGCAGGATTACAGCCCGCCCCTAATTACCAGCAGTTGTTAAAGCCCACTTTCAAGGAAGACAGGTTGGCAATTTAATCTGCTCGAGGAGAAAAAGAATTATATCTTGTTTCTCCCCAAATGATTTTTATTTCCCCCTAAGAAAATTAAGCATTGTAATGCGCTGGGGGAAAGCCACAGCCTTCCCCCTGAAAGCAATTCCTTGGGCCAGGAGGATTACAGTTATTATTCTGTTATTAAGGCCCTGCGTGCCCCACCCTGCATAAAACCCCAAAAGCACTCTATTTTGCAAAGCAGGTCAAGCCCAGGGCAGGACAGCGCAGCCAGGGCACTGACAACCACTTCCAGCCTCTCAGGCTGGTGGTTTGCAGGATCTGTGCAGGCGGTGGAGGTGAAGCAGGCACCATCCTCCTCCTCCTCCTCCTCCTCTCACTTCCCTCTCGCCCTCCTTCCCAAGCCTCTGAGCTCATTAGCAGGCAGAGGGAAAGGAGGCAGGGGCAAGGCAGGGCGGCAAGCAGGGACGGGGCTGGTGTGCCGCACGGCCCGGCTTGCAAAGCTCCTGCTCGCTAATTGGGCTCAATTAGGTGGCTCTGCTGCGTGCCGCAGCCCAGCCATCCCCCCGAAAGGTTAAATTAATTGCTCAAGGTCAGGCGAGACCAGCGAGGAACTGCCGGTGCCCACATCTCCTCTCCAGCCACCCCACTGCAGCAGGAGAGGCACAGCCCTGCTGCTGGGCTAAAAATAAAGACTTCTCCTGATGTGGAGAATGACAATTTGCTAATTAGTTTAATATGCAGCCTTAATAAAATGAAAAAGTAATTTGAGTAAATCTGCATTTCAAGAAAGCAAAGATTTGATTTTCTGATCTGTTTGTTATGAGGAGAGTTGTTCCCAGCCCCATTTCTTGATGTCTCTCCTTTAAACAAGCTCCGCATAATTGAACTGCAGGATTCCTAATGAAAGTTTGTCCCTTTTTAAGTCACGCCCTGGCTGGAGCAGTCAGCCTGGATGGCTTTGGGCTCGCTTGTCTGCAAGGGGCAGACACCATCGAGGTCCAGCGTCCATCAGAAACCCAAGGGAAACCCGTCTCCTCACCGCACGCAGCTCCGCGGCGACGCCACAGCCCCCCCCCGCCC